ACGCCAACTTCCAACCCATTCTGCTTGCAGATTGGCCCTGTCGGACATCTCTGAATTTTATTTACCCACAATCCAACTGTTAATATTATTTGGATTTCCTTTGAGCCAATGCTAGTTTGTTAACCAGAATAGACGCACACGAGGTCAAGGCTAGGTCAGAAGACAGTCCGAATAAGTCGGATATTCTTTGTGGTTCTATAGTAATAAACAGTAAAATTGGCAGATCAAGATAGAGTTAACAAGATGGGCGTAGCTTGAAAACCGGGTATACATTCGAGATGATTAGACGAGCAGTCATGCGAATGGCACCACTGCGTGTTGGTCGGTTTAAAAACGAACGACAACAAAGAACGGTGAGCAAAGAATGAGGAGAATCGACGAGTAGCTATTCAGAGACAAACTAGGCGCGACACGGATAAAGTCTGCCTACTAACAAACGGTCAGTAGAAATTAATACAATAACGTAAAATTGACATCTGGGATGTCACACCGACAACCCATATTGATGCCTCCCCGAACGTCCCTGCTACGAACAACCTCACCACTGATTATCAAAATTTCAGAGCCCCCTGCCGTCAATCATCCCCATTACCATCGTCCCTGCCACAATCTATGCAACGACAACGTCCTCCACAACCCTCACTCTCACAACCTCTCAAAATGTTCCCGACGTCCTCTCAAACACCGCCTGCACCATCACCCCTCCCCATCCCCCCACCTCCAGTAAAGTGGACACGGTTCCAACGTGTCCACATTATGATCGCGCACTCATCGCACGCATCGGCCTGGTCGGTTGCTTGCGAGTCCGTCGCCTTGCGACCGACGAATCAGTACCTGGAGCCCACCCCCACCCCCATAGATTTGTCGCATACGCCTCCAATGTCCACACTGTCCACGCACATCTATTCACTACGCGAACACATTTGGTCACATGCGTCCTTACCTAGCACGCCTTGCGGGTTCGACCATCCCTCCATCCCCAAACCAATCTTCTCCCCCCTCCTACCAGTGCGATCGCCACTAGCAGCACCACAACGATAACAGACCCAACATCCCAAAAACTATCATGGCCAGGCTGTCACCGAGCATTTATCTCAGACATCGGTCCGGTGGGTCCCTTGCGAATCCACGGCACTGAGACTGTCAAACCAGTGCCCGGAGCACCAGCATACGTCCGCCATCACTGAATCCCTGCTCTCATTGCCCGCTCATGTTAAGGCACTGCATGGACCCACTCGTTCACAGGGCCCTTCGGGAAAACCTGTGATAAATCATCGCAGATATGACCATAACACCCCACATTCCCCATAAACACATTCATCACACATGAACACCTCCAACACAACGCATTACCGGCACCTCTTACGTATGTGTCAACTGTCTCATTCATCTTCTTCCTGCATGCGACTCCTGTGCCACACGGGAGACCTGTAAGCCACAGCTTCCACCCCCCGCACCAGACATCTGATCGGCTTAGGTAGTGGACTACTGCCAGAGAGTGGGAAGAGAGAAGGAGGTCAGTAGTCTCAGGGCGTATATCTCACTATAAACAATCCGACGCGCTTAAGTTTATCACGATGCCCTAAAAGCCGTGGCCTAAGAAGCCTGCCGACTGACGGGATAACTT